TGTATTACAATTTGAAGCTAGGGTTCTGCCTATTTCATACCTTGGTATAACCCTATCCTCATCAGCAATCAATGTCACTGATTGCCAGACACTAGTGCTGAAAATAACAGGAAGAATCAACAATTAGACTTCAAAATTCCTGTCTTATGTAGGAAGGGTTGTGTTAATCAAGTCAATACTCTACTTAATATAAGCATATTAGACTCAAGCCTTTGTTCTGCCCTTAAGAGCCGTTGAATAGATTAACCAAATTTTCAGGTGTTTCTATTGGTCAAGGACTAAATTGAAGAAATCTGGTGCTAAGGTTGCTTGGACAGCTATTTGCAGACCAAAGCCGGTTAATTGTGGATGGGGTTTTCCATGTTTAGAATTGGCTAATAGAATCTCAAGCCTTAAACACTTATAGAGATTATGTGCTAGAAAGGACTCTTTGTGGGTTGCATGGACATACAAATATCTCATTAAGAATAAGAGCATTTGGAATGTGAAACAAATCTCGTTAAGTTCTGGATTTTGGAGAAGACTCCTCAAGCTGATAAGCATTACAAGAGGATTGGTAAGACACAAGATTGGGAATGGATTAGATACAAACCTATAATTGGAGTATTGGTTACTAAATGGTCCAATTGTTACCCAAATGGCCCTCGCTGACATGGAAATTCTTCAACTGGACAATCATGTGAAAGTTAGTAGCCCAATTTCCCAATGGCTAGTGGATAATTCCATCATCTCTTCAACTAGTTCCATTTTTCCAATCCCAATCCTTCAATTCTCAGTAGTAGTGTTTACCACAACTAACAAATATACAAGATGTGATTAAATGGTTGCCTTGTGCCTCAAAGGGGTTCTTACTGGGTCACATTTTGAGTTACTTCACCCTTCCTTCTCTACTATTCTCTTAGCCTCATATAATTTGGTTCAAGCATCACATCCCAAAGTATGCTTACATCTCATGGTTGGCAATTAAAGGTTGATTGTATACATTAGATACTAAGCCAATGAGAAACAAGCATTATGATAATGCTTGTTATCTTTGCCTCCCTGAATTGGAATAAATTGATCACTTGTTCTTTAAGTGTAAATTTAGTGGCATCATGTGGGATTTCGTTTAGCATACAACTAGTTTCAACTTCAATTTTAGGTCTTGCAGCTGGAATGAATTCATTGATTGGTGCTCAACTACATGGTCAGATGGTCACTTCCTTTCAGATAAATTGCTTCTTTCTACTACATTTGGTAATAGAGGAATTCAAGGGCATTCAGGAACAAGTCATCCACTGCTTTACACACTGTATGTCTCATCAAAAGTTGCATCAAGCCAGATATACCTACATTAAGTTGAAGAGTGGTGATGATTGAGATGATAAACTTCTCATCAATGGAAGATCTACAACAGCTCTTTCTGCAGGGTTGTTCTATAGCTAGCTAATGGACAATCTTTGTTTTTAATTGATTAGCCTCCAATGTCGACATGTCACTCAATGTGTGGATGAGTTTGGTTTAGAGTGTATTTTTGTTCAGCAATTGCTTGGTCATTTGCTTGGTTATTATTGTATGTTTTGTGATGCCTCTAGTCTCCTGTGACCTATAGGCTTGTTATGTCCATTTTTTGGACTTTGTAAAAAATTTCTTTTTAATATACAAGCTTACCCACCCATTCACCAAAAATAATAATAATAATAAGGGTTAATTCCACTTACACCCCCTAACCTTTGACCATATTCCACTTACACCCTCTTTAGGTTTCAATATTCCACCTACACCCCCTGAACTTTTGATTTAAGTAGCAAGTTGTCCCCTGCGTTTAACAAACAGACAGTAAGTACTGATGTCGGCATGAAAAATTTGAAAGAAGGTCAATTTTACCCTTTCAGTATCTGCAATGACATCTTTAACCTTATTGATTGATGGGGAATTACAAAACTGCCCTATACCTATTAACCTAAAATGACAACAATGCCCTCCTATCACCAAACCCAAATCCCCTTCTTATTAAAAGTAAACCCGGAATCAGAGGCAAGTCCTTTTCTCTCCTCTCTCTACTAAAACTATTCTCTCTCCTCTATATCTTTCTGAACTGAAATCCCTTCTCGTTGTAGAACCCTCCTTCTCTCAACTAGAAATCTCTCTAGTTGGAATTTTGTTTTTGGAAATCTCTCTCTGTTTCTAATAATCTCGCCATTAACCCTCTCTTTCTTCGTCGTTGGTTCAAGATAGTTATAGATAAAAAGAAGAAAACACGTATAAATGATTAATTCTGTTCTATTGAAATGTCTTATCAAAACAAAAATAGAGATCAGCACGTCCATTCAATGTTAGGATGCGTTTTCTCTCTAGATTTTCATCCTAATTTTTTTTTCCTAATTTGATTTGGAAACAAAAAAAGAAAAAGAACAATGAATGAAGTTGGGTATTCGGCGACTTCCGGGGGAGGAATTGTCAGCGGTGAACTAATTGTTTATGAACCTTGAGATCAACGGAGATGGAGTTTTCCGGCAAGGTGATGACTTAAATTGCTAAACGGTGATGGCGAGGTAGAGATCTCTAACGGTGGAAAAGAAACTTGTTCTCGCCAGAATGAATCACATGCGAGCTGTACGGAGAACGATGAAGTCTAACAATGAAGCTAACAGATAACCACACTAATCTGTTGAAAACTTTCGGCTACAAAGAGCAGACTTATCTTGGTTTAGGTTATCACCGACAGTCACATGCGCCCATCGGGTCTGATCTTGTTGTCATTGATACAACTTCCTCACATGATTCAGATTTTGGATTGAAGACTTTGATACCTCCTTCGACTTCATCAATCTTCATTCTGCTCTCCTAAACAGACCCTGCAACTACACCCTTTCTTTTTGGCAATTGGATCTTGGGTCTGCTAGTGGGGTTGTTTGCAAAAGGTGATTGTGGATGGTGCTAATTGAGGTTTGGATACAGATGGTGGTTTATGTACTAGACGGTGATGATGGAGGGGTTGATGTTGACTAGGAGGATGTTTTTCCATTCAACTCTAATGTGTGTATATTTGTCTGTGATTTACAAGTAGGGCGTTTTTCTCTTTTTATTCAACTCTAAATTTTTATAAATATTAGTAATATATAATTGGTGTTCAAAATTGAAAATTACACCATTCCGTTAGTAAAGTAAATTGTCATCACAGCAAAGGGAGATAGGTGAAATATTGAAACCTAGAGGGGGTGTAAGTGAAATATAGTCAAAGATTGGGAGGTGTTGATGGAATTAACCCTAATAATAATTATTAGACTTTGCAAACTAATATTTATTTAATTTCCAAATATGATGGAAAACAACTAAGAATGGAAGTCAGATTAATTCAAACCCTATATATAAATGAGAAAGTTGTTATTGGACTTCGAATCCTAGTAAAATAATATTGTTGGTCTCCAAATATCAATAAAGTTGTTGGGGAAAATCGGAACACAAAATAATAAAACCTGCTTTAACCTATTTAAAAAAAAAAAAAAACAAACCGTGTTTTGTTTAGGAAAGTTTTGGAAAAAATTGAGGGTTGCAGGAATCATAAATTTCTAGAACTTTTCCTTTTCTACCTAAGCAAACTCCAAAAACGTTATAAAAATTTCTATTTTTATTTTTTGTTCTCATTGCTTCTATCTAATCAAACGAAGCCTAATGAATCATGCCAAATATGATTCGTTGAAACGTCTGCCAGCAGGGATTGAACATCAACCTTAATTAACCAAAAAAAAAAATAAAAGATCAGATGATTTCTTAATTTTTACACATAAGAAATCTTTTATCGTCTTTCTTAAATGATCTCCTATGTGTATTAAAATTTAACCCCTCGTTATACATGTGTGATTATGTAATTTAAAATGCAGGGAGTTGCTGGGCGTTCTCATCCATTGCTGTTGTTGAGGGGATAAACAAGATAGTGACCGGAGATTTGATCTCCCTCTCCAAGCAAGAGTTGGTGGACTGTGATACGTCATGCATTTATACTGACAAGAATTACCTTTATACAGCTAAACAAGGAGTGTGCGACTAGAACAAGATTAGTATTGAGTTCTTTAATAGGAACAAATTAATCAAACAATGAAAATAAAACAAACAAGAATATATCTCATTCTTAATTTACTCATTGATCATGTGCAGAAAAATGTAAAGGTTGTCTCAATTGATCGTTATGAAAATGTTCCTCCATATAATGGAAAACGCAATTCAACCAGTTAGTGTTGCCATTGATAGCCGTAGCAGGGAATTCCAATTTTATAAATCGTCAAATTTTTATCTTTGTCATTGTATTTAAGTTTTTTTTCTAGGATTAAGATGACGCTAGATTTTTCTACTATTAATGATTTCATTTCATTATTCACTTAAGTCACTTGATTAACCAACTACTTTGCAAGAATGATTTCATGTTTTTTCTAAGAAGTGGATGGGGAAAGCGAACGAACGATATATGGTTGAAGGACGCTTGATGATCTGCCTACTATTATTATTTTACAAATGTTATTTCCGCCATGATTCAGATGCCAATTGTGTGTACATTGCTGCATGTTCCAGTTATTTTTTGTGGGCCCTTCCATGATTTGTTTCTCATCCTGTTGTTGAGTTGATGGTAATAATAATTTATTGTTGTATTTGGATGACCTGAATTGTTAGATCCGAGTTTTATAGCCATATTGACCTCTCTCACTTTAAAAGGTAATATAGGTAGAGGTATATGGATAGTAGAGATGGATATAGATATTTATTTGTTGTAATATCCATCGTCCACTAGTTAATTATTTGATGTAATATCCATGGGACCCATTATCCACTCGTTCGCCTTTTTAAGACAACCTCGTCTCCATCTTTTGTTCACAATTACACTCACTCGTGACTTCGTATTTATCTCTAACAAACATGGGTTGGTATAGGTCACTTGTAATGTCCATTGTCCGCTAGTTAATTATTTGATGTAATATCCATGGGACCCATTCTCCACTCGTTCGCCTTTATAAGACAACCTCGTCTCCATCTTTTTTTCACAATTCCACACTCACTCATCACTTCATATTTCTCTCTAACAAACATGGGTTGGTATAGGTCACTTGTATCCATGGTGGTCCTTCTCTTCATGTTCTTCGCCTTGTCGTCGGCATTAGACATGTCGATCATCAGCTACGACTCAATGCACATCGACGAAGCGAGTTGGAGGACCAACGACGAAGTAATGACCATGTTTGAGTCGTGGCTTGTAAAGCACGGAAAGGTTTACAATGCCTTGAGTGAGAAAGAGAGGAGGTTTCAGATCTTCAAGGACAACCTCCGGTTCATTGACGGCCACAACGCCGTCAAGAACCGGACCTACAAGCTGGGTCTGAACCGGTTCGCCGATCTGACCAACGAGGAGCACCGGTCCATGTACTTGGGGACCAAGCGGAGGGTGTCGGCTCCCAAGACAAGCGACCGATATATTCCCCTCGTCGGCGATAGCTTGCCGGACTCCGTCGATTGGAGGAAAAAAAGTGCCGTTGTTGGAGTCAAAAACCAAGGACAGTGTGGTGAGCTACTTCTCTTTCTCCTCGGTCGCGCCGTCGTTTAAATTAATCTCTTCACTGCCGTGAAAAAATAAAAAAAATAAAAAATAATTAAATTCGGAATTTAAAGCGAGATAATTTTTTTCATTTTGGACCCTTTTTAACACACAACGTTACTTTTTAGTAATACCAGAGCACTTTTTACTTGCAAAATGATATCATTTTGACTCTATGCTAACTTAACAAAATGATTGAAATGACTTGAATATCTTTTGACTTTGTATATATAAATGTGTGTATATATATACTCATACACAATTACACTAAAAAATGAAGTGAATTTATGTATTAAAAATAAATAAATAAATAATGCTTAACTACTCGCCAATGAGTAAGGTGAAATTACTCACCCCTATGTGGTCCAATAACAAACTAACACATCACCTTTAATAATAAAATAATTTATACATTTTTCTGTTTTCTCAGATCAATCATTGAATAAACCGTATATAGTGTTTGTGTGTGTGTGTAGGGTGAAGCTACTCACTATGTGGTCCAATAATAAACTAACACATCACTTTTAATAATAAAATAATTTACACCCTTTTCTGCTTTTTCGGATCAATCATTGAATAAACCGTATAATAGATATCACCACCCACACCCACAAATTAATCAACGCATAACAAGTGCCACCACCACTACTACAATAAATGCCCCACAACCACCACTCTGTATTGGACAAATGAACCCCGGAGTAGCCACCACTACCCTCCCCACTGCAACAACCACTCTGTATTCAGGGGAAACAACCACATTGAATCAGCAGCGGCAAGGTTGAGGCGGGGTGGAAGTGGTGGCGTGGTTCACAGCGATGAAAGCGGCAAAGTGGTTTAGGGTGTGGTTTACTGGTTTAGGGCTTGTGTTTAATGATGGGTTAAGGGTGCGTATCAATCTTAACCTACTCAGACAATCAAAAAAAAAATAATAATAAACAAAAAAAAAAAAATATATGCCTGATTATTTTTACTTTTTTTTTATAAAAAAGAGCACCAACCTTAAAAAAATAAAATTCAAAGATGATTTCTTTATTTTAACACATACTAAATCTTTTATCATTTTTCTTAAATGATGTTGGATGTGTATTAGTAAACTTTAACCCTTCCGTATACATACGCGTGATTATTTTTACTTTACCTTGTTTTGACATTTATTTTTAGTTCTACATACTTTGAATTAACATTTAATTAAGCATATGTTGATTAATGTAAATTTAAAATGAAGGGAGTTGTTGGGCGTTCTCATCTATTGCGGCTGTTGAGGGGATAAACAAGATAGTGACCGGAGATTTGATCTCACTCTCGGAGCAAGAGTTGGTGGACTGTGATACAGTAGGTTCTAACGGATGTGATGGGGGTACCTCGGACTATGCATTTGGGTTCATCATTGAGAATGGTGGAATTAATACCGAGAAGAATTACCCTTATAATGGTACACAAGGAGTGTGCGACCACAACAAGGTAATTAGTATTATTGAGACTTGTTTAATTAATAATGAAACAAACAAGAATATATATATATATATCAGTCTCATTCTTTACTCTCATTATTATTCATGTGCAGAAAAATGAAAAGGTTGTCTCAATTGATAGTTATGAAGACCTTCCTCCAAATAACGAGTTGGCATTGCAAAAGGCAGTGGCAAGTCAACCAGTGAGTGTTGCTATTGATGCCAGTGCGGCCGAATTCAACTTCTACGAATCCGTAAATTTCTACCTTGGTCGATCATTGTAGTTTAGTTTCTTTTCTAATAACATTAAGACATATGATGCTACATTTTTCTTCAGGGTGTATTCACGGCAAGTTGTGGGACAGAGCTAAGCCATGGTGTGGCTGTAGTTGGATACGGGACAGAAAATGGCGTGGACTATTGGATTGTGAGGAACTCTTGGGGCACAGAATGGGGAGAGGAGGGCTACATCAGGATGGAGCGTAACATAGCTAATGCACCAACAGGCAAATGTGGAATCACGATGCAAGCTTCTTACCCCATCAAGAATGACCAGAATCCTCCCAACCATGCCCCATATTAGCGGGCATTTGGGAGTACTGGAAAGAGCAAAGCGAACGATGGTTGAAAGTCTTCGAGGATGCTTGATGATCTGCTTACTATTATTATATTGCAAATGGGATGAATATATATATATATATATGTACGTGTATGGTGCTTTTATATTTCTGCGTTGTAATAAGAGTTCGTTTTCCTTTCCTTCGAGTTATCTCTGCTCCTGTAATGTATTGTTGTGTTGGGATGGCCTCTTCATATAAGATTTGACCATCAATAAGAATGCAAGAGTACTGAATTAATGTTAATGCTTTCTGTTTAATTTCTATATATAATGTTGGTCGATCCATTTTCCTTTTTATATCTTCTTTGGTAAATGTTTGATTCAAGCTTTACGACCATTGACCTCTCACCTCATACCCTTTCAGCTTCTAAATATCTAAAGAAAAAAATGGAAGTTATTCTGTAATGAATTGTGAGGATGTCTTCGCTTGAACTATAAATAATTACAAAATGTGAATTAATGGCACAGACATTGCCTTGCATGTAAGCAAGCTGAAAAAATAAATTAATTAGGTGTCTCCAAAATCAGAAAGATCATCTATTTCTTCTTAATTTTCCCAATACTTCAGCCTATTGTTGCGATTTTGCATTGGTTTTCAGCCTAATGTGGCGATTTTGCAGCCAACTTCTTCATCCATTTTACTAATAGCAAGACTATCCATGTTTATTTTAGTATCACACTGTTTCTTTAAAATTGATAATTAGTGCACTATTCAATAAAAACTAATCTAAAGTTGAATAATTACATTAAGTAAAAAATAACATGCACACACACACACACACACATATATATATATATATTGATTGATGAAATGATGTGGCATCGGCGGTGTCGTGGGGGGCGGGGCTACCGTTGAAGGTGGAAGAGATACAAGTGGAGCCTCCAAAATCATCAGAAATTAGGATTAAGATGCTGTGTGCATGTCTATGCCACACTGATATCCTTTGCTGCAATGGCCTTCAGTTGTTAGTACCCTTCCTTCTGCATTCCAATTTTTTCTTTTTTCTTTTTTTTTTTTCTTTTTTTTTTCTTTTTTTTTTAAAAATTTAAAAATGACATTATTGTCATTCAAGAAAAACACACTCAAGTATTTTTAAAGTATTCACATACTCTACCTTTTGACGAATAAAATTGTTATTTTATTTGTTAAATAATTTAAGTGAAATGTAATTGGTGAAAAATAGAGTGTGAAATATATGAATATCCTTGAATGTATGCTTAGTGTTTGCTGATTTTGTTTTTAATACTTTTACAGCCTTTGTTCCCACGAGTTCCTGGGCATGAAGGTGCTGGGTAATCTCTCTCTCTCTCTCTCTCTCTCTCTCAATAATTGAAAGTCAAATTTTAAAATTTAAATACCTAAAATGTCCCATTTTATATACATTTGAATATATACATATATATATATATACACTCACAAAATAGATGGAATTTGTTTACACAGGATGGTAGAGAGTGTTGGTGAAGGAGTGAGAGGTTTTAAAGAAGGTGACATTGTGATGCCAACCTACATAGGGGAGTGTGGGAAATGTGAGAATTGCAAGTCAAATTTGTGCTTGGCATACCCTTTCAAATTATATACTCCACTCTTACATTCATAATCACGAGCATCTAAATTTGAAAGTTCGAATTTTTGTTGATATAGTTTCAACAACTGAGGAGCTTCCTCATAACAGGTCACAAACTTCTTGAGGAGCAAACTCTCTCCGGAATTCAACAATGCGTCTACATGAATGGGTGGTTCCTTAATTAACCAAACCTTTCGACAACAAAACTTGAAGTACCGAACACCTGGGAATTATCCTCTTACTCATTGTGTTGACATAAAAATTCAGCACCGCCATTATCTTCTCCTTGGATACCATCATACACATCGGACATCTTGTAAAAGCCAAGATTGTTTCTTCCTCAGACCAACATCACTTCTCATAAACCTCCATCTTCCTTTTCCATGTTGCTTTGTTCATTGAGGTCAATGCCTTAATCGCTATAACAAAATGGGATTGTGAAGGGTCATTGAAACCCAATTTCTTAACATCCTCCACTAAACATATAATATTTTCGGACTCGAGTTGGACTTCGCACTTCATCCATATCAACCCAAGCCCAGACTGAATTGAATTCGGGCTCAAAATATACAGCCCAGGCCCAAACCAAAACTAAAAACACATTGCCCAAGCCCACAAAATTTCGAATTGGGCTCGGGTTATTTCGAGTTGGTCCCGCCCGAGTTGTAGCCCTAACTGTGATACTAAAGTTGTGGGTCGAATTATAAAAAGTTGAAGCTATTAGGTGTTATTGTCTACCCTTTTATAAGTCTAGAACCCACTTTGTTCCAATATGATGTTTCCGCGAGTCGTCTTGCTACTCATGTTGTCATGATTCTGGTCCATGAACTTGATGGCCATTAAGAGTGGGCTGATCATCAAATTCTCCATCCTCTGCTGCAGACATGATCAGATTCAAATTTCTTTTCTGATAGATATATTGCATTTACTAATCACTCACTAGTGTCATTCGAATGATAGCCTAACCGATTAATTAGAGCCAACTCCATTTTCACACCCACAACCAATACTTTACTAGAAACATAAATTATGTTTATAACACTGTAGAAAGATCCATTTGCCTATTCTGTAAAGAGAGTACCGTAGCTTTTTTCTGTGAATGAACAGTTGTATCACCAGAGTAGAATCAATACAAGGTTTGAAAGTTTGATCAATCTTGGTCTTTTGATTGATTTTCAAATTATTTTAATTTTATTTAATTAAAAGGGATAATTTCACTGACATCTCCTGAGGTTTGGTCAAATATTAGTCTCAAATATCTTTCGAAAATAACTATCACTTAGATCCAATTTCGCTTTTTCGTTACTGTCTCCGTTAAAAACATGAGAAAAGACATATTTGCCCCTACACTACAAGAAATGTGGGCTTTTACGACATAGTATTTACGGGGCTTCTTTATTTTGCCTCGTAATTACTACCATTTACGGAGTTTTTAAAAGAATCCTTGTTATAGGACATGCTTTCACGGGGATTTAGTAAAATCCTCGTAGAAAAATATTTTTACGGTGTATTAAAAAGCTCGTGAATATTTTGATATATTTATGACATATTTGTACACCTTTAACGGGATAAATGTTTCTCGTTGATAAAACACTCATTTAAAGCCTTTTTTTTTTCCTCGTAAATAACCAATTAATAAAATTAGTTAATATATATATATATATATAAATGAACTTAAGTTCTTTTACGGTGTATTGAAGGGGCTGTGAATAAATTTCACATTTAAGACGCCTTTTTTGCCCTGTAGATAAGCCAAAAAAAAATTTAAAGTCAAAAAAAATTTCCCCCCTCGGTGCCGTTGGCGGGAAATTTAGCGCCAATTTTTTTTTTTACGGTGTTTTAAGGAGTCCGTGAATAAATTTCACATTTAAAGAAGCTTTTTTACCTCGTAGATAAGTTTCACATTCAAGGGGGGCTTTTTTTTTTTTTTTTCTGTAGATAAGCAATACTATTTTACAAAATAAAATTTCCCCCCCTTCGTGCCGCTGGCGGGAATTAACTTAGCACCAAATAAATAATTTTTTTTAATAGAGAACATAATGAAAAATTAGTCTCACCTTACCTTATGAACCGATGTAGTATTTGTCAACCGTCCAACTCTATACAGCTCTGCTCTCTCTCTCTCTCTCTCTCTCTCTCTCGTAAGCCCTAGATTTCTCTCTCTGCTCTCTCTCTCTCTCGCGTTGAAGCCCACTTTCTCTCTCTGCTCTCTCTCTCACGTCTAAGCCCTAGCTTTCTCTCTCTCTCGTCTAAGCCCTAGCTTTGTCTCTCTGCTCTCTCTGTCGTGCCGAAGCCCTAGCTTTGTCTCTCTGCTCTCTATCTTTAGATGAAAAAGATGTGAACAAGATGATGTTGTAGATTCGATATAGTCTCCCTATTCGAGTTATCTCTCTGGTTCGCCTCTCTATTCGAGTTCTCTCTCTGGTTTGGACACGAGAAACAGTCATTTGGAGCCACAATATCTTCGAATTTCAGACGGCTATACGCATCAATTTGGAGCAAAAAATCAGGTTGGTCTATCTCTTTCTATATATGTCTCTATTAGTTTTGATTTTTTGATTAAGAGTGTTTTATTGAATTTAATTTTTTTTTTTTTTTTTTGGAGACTAAATCTCCCTGTGACTATTGTAACACTTATACGGTGCTAAATAATCAATTTGTTTTTTTTGTTGTTTTGAAAATCCCTTATTTTCCAGTTTTGCATGCCTTTTTATTTTTATCTTTTTTATTTTATCCATATTAGATACAGAATCATCCAGTTCTTTGATTTCCCTGCATTCTGGTATCTGTGTCGTATTTTTTTTCCCCACTCCAAATTCTTGAGTGAAATGCCCCAAATATGTTTTTGGAATTGGAACAAACGAACATGCAATTACCCTTATAATTAAGTTCCAAGCTAGTAGTGTGAGTGGTATTTGGTTTTAGTGTCCAACCTAAATGTCTAGGATTCCAGCCCCACGTGGTTTCTGTAATAAATAAAAACATGTAGGGAGTAGGCTACATAAAGCTTATTCAATCATTTATTTGGGCAATGCCATATTGAATATGTGTCTGTCATATTTTCTCATAAATCCAAGCCTTGCAATTTCTTTTTCTTCTTGTTGTTCCTATAGTGTGTCAACATAAGCAACATAATTCTCTAGTCTGTCTTAGTCATTGATCTTTATTGTATATGGTGAAACTTTCTCGTCCAACTTTTGCTTATCATACTATTCCTTACCATCTGTGCCTTCTCAAGGATGCATAAATCTCAATTTTTATTTTTTCTTGTCTAAACAGACTTATATCTCATAATTTTCATTTCAGCACAGCTCATTCTGTGAACATATAAATTCTTGATTCTTAAACATTTCGTACTTGCTTTCTCTTGACATTGATAATTTTTCATGCTAAGCTATGGATAATCTGTTATTTTCAGTATTTTTTAACAGGAATTTATTGTCCTGTCAACTCTTTATTTTTTCACTCTTTTCTTTGTGCCATTTACATTTTTACTTTTTTCATAGAGTCTAAGCAAATGTGGTATCTAAATCTATAATTGTTTGCAGTTGTACGGCTTATGGGATGTGCTGCTTCACACATTACATTAGAGTGTGCTTTACAAACTCATCCCAACATTACCCTTATTGGAGAAGAGGTACTTCTATTCATTTATTTGTTCACTTCCAAATACATTGTTGGCTTAGCTACACTTAAGTCTTAAAAAACTTAAGCATTTGCTAGTGATTGGGACTTCTTAAATGCTGTTATCAACAATTATGTCTTCCCATCATTGTCGATAGTTATGTTTTTAGGTTGACTTGTAGGCAAAACTACTTAAAAAATTCAATTAGTTACTAATTTTTTTTAAAAAATGAGTAAAATCTCAAGAGTGGTAATCTGTCAGGAAACAAGGTTCTACCATATTAGGTTCCAACTAAGCTCACGACCTTTTTTTTTTTTTTTTATGCAAATACATATTATAGGGTTTCAAAATTGCAAGTGAAATTGTAGATTTATTGCAAGTGAAATTGCAGATTTGGAAGAACTTAGGAACTAATGAAAACTTCTGCTTGTTTGTTGTTCTTTCATTTGCTTATTTTTGGTGTCAGTGTGCAGATGTAGTCCGCTTTCCATGGTTGCTTTCATTTTCTTGAACAATTATTACCAACTAAGGATAGGTTAGTAAGTTTTTCTTTTTCCTTTTTCCTTGGGTAAAGTTGTCGTCTTTTGTTGTACCAAGTACCTTATCTATATGTCATTGTGTTCCTGCTTTATATGTTTATGAGATTCCAGATTTTAATTTTTTTTTCTCTTGGTTATGTATAATGATATATTTATGCAGTCTTCTGTATCTATATAGCATAATATATGGAATCCTGAACAGGAAGAGGTGATATCACTTGGTCTAAGCCCTTGCTATGAAAATTTGTCCGTGGAAGTAAGAACATGTATTATATTTTTGTTTTCCTAAACAAATTATTTAATAAAGCAAGATATTTGAATATTCCATTTAGAGAGTTCTGCCTCTTCCCTTCAGTTGTGTCCCTGAGAGGCTTCAGCCCAATCCTTCTCAAGTCAATTTGTGCCAAACCCTTGTATAAGTAAGGATATAAACAATGGAGCTTAAATGAAGCAGCAAGCAGCATATAGCAGACTCAGTTTTGCTGCTTCTATGATACCTCAAATCAGAGGGTATAAATGACAATTTACAATGTCTCAGGCCTTGTACATCCTCTTATAAACTTGTATATTCTTCACACAAAAGCTTAGATGATAAGCAAATTAATAATTAAATTAAATTCAGTTCCAAAATCTGCTCACAACAGGTTTCTGCAGAACCTAAACAAGCTGAGGGTAAAACTGTAATTTCGAGGTTAGACTTCCTTGGATATAGATCCCACGCCACTGAATTAACATATTACACTTGCTCAAATCGTAATATCTTAGTTTATAGCAAGGTAATATCAAATTACAGATCAAAGTGAGATTCACAGGTTGATTTCTAGAGCAGCACTGTTCTTAGGGACTGAAGGGTCATTTCTCAGCTACATTCTTTTGTTTTTGATTTTCTCAGTCATGTAATATCAAATTACCATTACACAGATAAAGAACATAGCAATGAAACAGTTGAATTTCAGTCACAGCACTCATAGCACACACTCAGCAGGCTTTTTAAACTGAAAACCTTATTTAGTGAGGTTTATGAGGTCAAAACAAGAACAAACCAATTTTCTGGTTTAAGAAATATGTGAAAATTATTCAGGTCAATTTGTCATTCATTAACTTATTATTATATTTCTTAAATTAGTCATACAATCTGATTTTTTATGTATTTGTTGGCATTATATTTTTGAAATATTTTTTCCTGACAGGATTGATTATCACCAGTTCATTAAGAGCAGAAGAATCAGAATTTCTATGATTCCAGTCTACAACAAAGGTCAAATACTAAGCTTCTTTTATGATTGCACAATTTTAATGCTTTTTATACTCATACTTAGGGGGGTCATGTGCCTTTAAGTGACCAATTTTGCGGTATATCTTGAACTTTATTACCTTATTGGTACATCGGCCCGTGTGGAGGCCATTTTTATTTCTTGTTTTAAAATGTTGAAAGCATGGGAGTATGGGATCATCGTATGTGGAGGTTTTGATTGACTGTTGTGGAGGAGAAGTTGTTAATATGTTGTTTATACCTTTACTTAAATTGGAGAACAATATTTGTAGGTAAATTGGAGAATGACTTCTCCATATTCTAATTATTTATGACCCTATACTAATAAGCAGACATATACTACAACCAAATCCTCTGGTCCAACATGGATGGCAAATGTGGGTAAAAATCATCTATAGTTTATACTATCCACTTGTTATACAAAAGATTGAAATTGTAAACAACAATTTGTATGAGAGGCTCCTTAGCATTAAGAAAGGGAAATACAATAGAAACTATATATCATTTTTAAATCTGTCAAACAATTTAAAAATTAAGATTAAAACAATATGAAAACAATTTAAGAGGTTAAGAACTAAAGCAATAATAAACAAGGAATTATCTCTAGGAGGTAATTAATACGTACCCGAAATAACACTTGGGGCTCAATCAACTACAAATACATGGAAAAATTCAGAACTATTAAAAAGTTCAAAACTATCAATCCATGGAAAAATTAAATTTAATGTGAACACAAATACAAATAGAAAAACAAAATTTTTAATAATCATTAATTAAAAAATGATGTTAAACCCAAGCTTGCATCAATTTTGCTCAAATTAGCACCAAATAACATAGTATCCAAACATCAATTATTAGATTACATTCATCCAATAATAGAAGATTAATCATTGATCTGTTAGTGCTAATTATTTAACCGGCTGCCAAGTTCTTTCATCAAGTTCTTGTTCAGCCCTCCTCCTTTCATCAATGCTCACTCCTTTCATCAAGTATCCAAACATCAATGCTCACTCCATTCATCAAGTTCTTGTTCAGCCCTCCTCCTTTCAGCCTCCAACTTTGTATTTGCCTTCCTCCTATGATCCAAAGACGAAGATGGAGCCTTTTTTCCATGACCAAACCAACAGAAATATGTACCCTTTATTGTTCCAAGACAATTCTCCAATATCTTTGCTCGTCCACCGGGACTGGACTACTAGCATCCAAATTAACAGATGCCTATGATGATTGACTGGACATTCAGTGCTAATATAGATAAATATAAGTTTATATATAAAGACATAAATCAACTGGACAAAAGCTTACGACAAAATAATAAAGTATCCATCCTGTCTACCAAGCATATATGCCATCATATCACAAGCAATTATGTAGCTTGACGATATTTATTCTTGGGAACTTGGAAGCTGCCATTCCAAATACTAATAGGAAATAAACATGACAGAAACCAATAATTGTTGCGGACATGAGACAAAAAAACACCTACCTTCTTATCTCATTCCCATGACATCGTGAGAAAACAATAACGTCTGCCCCAAGCCTCATAGTACTTGTCTTAAAACCATTTCCATCTGGGAAAAAATAAACAATAATAGTAGTGAAGAAAACTTATAATAACATCCAATCAATGATATCATTAAATTATGATTTTTCCTAATATTTTTTTTTTTTTTTTTTTTTTTCAGCAAGGGATCTCCTCAAGGGATGCTTCGGTCTGTAACAACATACAGGGTATCTGTAAGATATGAATTTATAATTGGCTAATTTCGTTGTCAAAATAAGTCCGATCAAGTTGTAATTTTTCGGTTCAAAATTTCAAAGATTGAAGATCGGATGTGGATTTGAAGAAGTACAAGTGTTCATGGTTTACTACACTTCGGGATAATGAGAACAATATTTTAGGAAGGTATGTGAGTGAGTGAGAACACTTGAGGGAGTTTAGAAGGTTGAAGGAAACAAAGATTTTCACTTCTGTCCATTGGGAACGGGTAGGAGAATCCTTGGTCTACAACAAGTTTGGTCACTGCCAATCTTGAACCGGTATTCACAGTTGGGAACCGGTAGCCAAAATGCATCAAAAAGGCTTCTGACCTTCTTGAACTAGTACCAAGTTTGGGAACCAGTACCAAGAGTCCTGACAGTATTAGAACTTTCAGTTTCTTGTTCTAATTGTTTCCTTTTTTATCCCAACTTCTTTCCAAGTCCTATACACGAAATTTTTCATATTTTTAGAGGGACTAGGACATTCTAAACTCTATATAAACCTTGGTAGTCATCTAGGTTGAAACATGACTTTAGGGAAAATCAATTCTATATTTTGAGAAAGCTTTTTAGAGAGAGAAAATTCAGAAAATCAAATCTGATTATTCTGAATTTATTTATGAGAGCACACACATATATTCATGAGTGATTTATTGGTGTTGCTCTCTATCTCATCGGAATTGGAACTATATTGAAGATTCAGATATTCCGTATGAAGAGCAAGATTTAATTCTTCTACATCGAGTTCAGATCTTGAAGAACAGTTTTAAAAACGATCACACTTTGAAAGGGTTGGAGCATTCGAGTAGTGTTGTCTAATCTATCTGTTACTCTTCTACAAATATCAAGCATAAGCCTGAGGTCAAGTTGTTGTTGGACAGGGAGTCACAAAGCCAGAGAATTGTTAGCAATTGGTGTTTAGTAGAATGATAGGGTGTGAGCCAGAGTCAAAGTTTAGTGTACTTTGTTTCAAACATAGTAGATTGATTTACTTTGGACTGAATAATCCACGAGGTTTTTCCCATGCAAATAATTAATGTATCTTATCAACTAGGGTTTCCTCGCTAAAAATCCTAGTGCAATCTCTCTAAACTTTTACTTGCTTTATTTTACATATATTCGTGATTGTGGTTGTTTAAATTGATCATATAATTTAATCAATCACAAAATCGAGCAAGTTAGCCTAATATTCAGATCTAGGTCATTAAAGGAGTTAATCACAATTGAAATCAACTAACAATTTTCGCACCCCGCGTAACTCTATTTTCACAGTATCACCAAGCCGATGATTTAGAAGATTATGTGTGTATGTGCATATATATATATATATATATATATATATATATATATATATATATATATATAGACGTCCAACTTCTCTGCTCCCAAATTTCTAACTCCACCAATTGCTCTTCGATCTCGCTATTTATGTCGAGCTTGCAATTGAAGCAATAGAGTATGGATTATATATATATATATATATACACACACACACATGGAAGATTTGCTTTCTATTTGGGATTTGAACTTTCGTCTCAACGCTCTGAGCCTCACTTACCCACTCCTCTCTCTCACATCTCTCACACACACATAGCTTTACACACAGCCATGCCCACCACCACCACTTTGTACAGTCAACGTCTCTCTCTCATCTCATCTTTGTATAATCGATTGATGATGGATAAGAGAAGATTGGCGATGGCCAATCGATGGCGTGACGAGAAATATTCGACGAAGGCTAACCACTGGTTAACGGCGATGGCTTGATTTTGGAGAAGACTCCTCGAGCTGATAAGCATTACAAGAGGATTGGTAAGACACCAGATTGGGAATGGATTAGATACAAACCTATAGTCGGAGTATTGGTTACTAAATGGTCCAATTGTTACCCAAATGGCCCTCACTGACATGGAAATTCTTCAACTGGACAATCATGTGAAAGTAAGTAGCCTAATTTCCTAATGGCCAGTGGACAACTCCATCATCTCTTCAACTAGTTCCATTTTTCCAATCCCAATCCTTCAATTCTCAATGGTAGTGTTTACCATAACCAACAAATATACAAGATGTGATTAAATGGTTGCCTTGTGCCTCAAAGGGGTTCTTACTGGGTCACACTTTGAGTTACTTCACCTTTCCTTCTCTACTATTCTCTTGGCCTCATATAATTTTGTTCAAGCATCACATCCCAAAGTATGCTCACATCTCATGGTTGGCAGTTAAAGGTTGATTGTATACATTAGATACTAAGCCAATGAGAAACAAGCATTATAATAATGCTTGTTATCTTTGCCTCCCTGAATTGGAATAAATTGATCACTTGTTCTTTTAAGTGTAAATTTAGTGGCATTATATGGGATTTCATTTAGCATGCAACTGGTTTCAACTTCAATTTTAGGTCCTGCAACTGGAATGAATTCATTGATTGGTGCTCAACTACATGGTCAAATGGTCACTTCCTTTCATATAAATTGCTTCTTTCTGCTGCAATCTACAACATTTGGCAATAGAGGAATTTAAGGGCATGATTTTGTATTTATATATGTCTCTGTGTGTAATGTGTGTGTGTGTATATATATATATATGTCTGTATTAATTTTTTTTTTGGTCCAAAAATTATACCGAATTACCTATATTCATGTTTCCTTATCATTGAAAAACTGAACTACAACAGCAAATACCACATCAGTTGTGTGCCCCTACATGATTTCTATTTCAAAGGAATGTAAATATTTAATCTAACAGAGGTTAGAAACTGTGTTTTTAACCAATTATCAATGTTACAAAAATATTTTGGAAATTAATAATGAAATGAAATTAATATGTCGTTCTGCAATTAGTTTAATTAATATATCATTTGAATAGTCAAACTAAAATCAAATGAGGGTAAACATATAATTTTAATCATTAAAAAAATAATTTAGTTAGTCAAACCAAAGTCAAAGGGTAAGAATGTTTTTTTATATGTAAAAAATGGTATGACACACCTGTCAACTAACTTTTGGGGTGTGAGTGAAAAACGGAGCAAACGTTTATATTGTGAGTGATAGTTATTTTCGAAAAATGTTTGAGATTGATATTTGGCCAAATTTTAGGGGATGTTAATGAAGTTATTCCTAATTAAAATTAAAGTGAAACAAATCACAAAAAGTAATAAATAAAGTAAAATGAGTAATATAACATGAAGAATATTTTTGAGAAAATTCAAAGAAGAAAATCACAGAGATTTAGCTGTCTTTGGTGAAACCAATCTACTGTATGTGGAGTTAGTGTTATACAAACTCTATTTCAGTGTCACATCCACTCAACTATGTCAATAACTAGTTTTTGCCGTTTTTGCAAATTTTCATTTTACTCCTCAATTCTTGCATATGGGTTGATAGTCCGCAAACACTTTGTCCCTTTCGTAGGGATCAAAAAGGTCTTCCTCGCAATTACAAAAATAAAAATAAACTAAAATAAGTGTTACTATGATCAACCAAGATATACCGAAACTACTATGTGTGCTATCAATAACATAGATAATATTATCTTATTACTGTATAATTGTGTCCTCGGATAAACAAAAACAATCACAAAAATCAGTGGTAATGAACTCTCTCACTAAAAACATATAGTGATGACAAGTCCAATTTGGTTGGTAATTTTGTAACCCATTGGATTGTATAGGTAGGCAAAAGTGCGAAACTCCCGATATTGTGATTTTTGAAAATTTCCAATCCGTTGGACTCTATAGGATGAGATCGTGAGAGTACTTAAACCTGTTGATAATTTTTCAAACCGTTGGGCTTCTAGAAAAATGAAAAATAACCTTTAAAAAGAAACATTTTTCAAAGTCATAACCCAACCAAACTCGTTGTCCATTGTGTCCTTACTTATAGACTTATATACATGTTCTACATGATGTTTTTATGGAATCAATAATATTAATACACTTGTCGTTCGGCTCGAACAATCAAGACACAAATTAAAACAAAAATTACGAATGGGAATGACAAAACACTTGGAAAAATACTTTACGAATGGTTCCCAAATAGCATATTCGAATGGGAAGGACAAAACACTTTGAAAAATTCCTGTTTTGAAAAATCTGAAGCATACCATGTATGTAAAGTGTCTTAACCTTTAATTTAACTTCCTAAAGCGTTTTTCATACATTTTTCATGGATCTCAATATATCAAACTCTTCAATTCCGTAACCAATCTCGATCTTAAATTTTAAACTTGAAAAAACAACTCGATCGGACTTATTTAGACACCGAAATTAACCAATTACAAAATATATATCTCACAATCTCTCCCTTTGGCAATTTCGTGACAAAACCCTAAGAATAAATATAATCTACCCAAGCAGATTGAAAGAGCAGATTACAACTTGTCAATTTTCATATTCTCTTCTTTTCTCTGGATAAAAGTTCACCTGATTTCCTACACATTTATCAAGCAAAACTATCAGTGAAAGTTTAATAAAACATATTATATAAACTCACATAATATAAAAACTCCCCCTGAATTAATTATCAAATTTTCTCTCCCTTTTTGGAACAAATTGACAAAGTGAGGCAATTAAAGAAAAGAAGAGAAAAACTAGTCATTAACAGCCAAAAAGAATAACCAAAGTAATGACAATGTTATCTTAACAAAAACATGTTGCATGATGCATGAATAAAAGAAAAATGATAGTCAATATAGACAGATCAAGCATCTCCTTCAAAAGAAACAGTAGTGATCAACACATCATCAAAATCATCACCACGATCATCACTACCATCCTCATCATCATCATCATCATCATCATCATTATCAACAGCAGTAGCACCATCATCATCACCCTTTTCACCCATAGACGGATATGGAGGAGCACTCTATAGACATCCTCAGTAGAACCACTTGCCTATTATGCCCTAGTCAGCCTCATCTCCTTAGCCTTGAAATCTCATATCTCATCCATGACTCTCTCAAACATGGTATTCTGATTCTGAAGAAGAAATGAGTACATCAGATTTGCGTCATCTCTTGAGAAATTCCCTTTGGAGGAAAATATCCTGGTAACCTCTGGAATCTGAGATGAAGTAGCATTTGATCCTCTCTAAGCCTTCCTTGCATTCTCCCTAGCAGTCTTGAACTTATTGAGAGCATGAAGATCTAGTTTAGACACAATATCCCGATGATATGCCCTGGGAGGAAGCAAAATCCTATTCTTTCTGTAGAATCCCATAAAAATCATAAGAAAAGGAGAAGACTTCTTTGCTCCAACAGCAAGAAGATAAAGAACTTGAGCCCGTTCTAGAGTAATTTCATCATTTTTCCTAAAATAACCCAGATTGGCCATGGCAAACAGGTTTAAGAATTCAGCCTCATCAATAAGATAACGATATGGGATATGTAGTCAACATACTTAGGAGACCCCGGTGCACATAAAGCATAATAAATCTCTGACCATTTTGGACCTGGACCTCTAATAGGCAACACATATCCAGTGCTGCTTACTCTCTTCTAAACACCCTGAATAACACAAAGTTCATCTTCAGTGAATAAATAGTTAATGCCAAAAATTGATACTTCAAAGTATCCATCTTTATTAACTTTGCGATATTTGACTATAGTGAACCATGTTAGGTGAGAAACCGCTTTCCAAACTGGTGAAGAAGAGCCAATTGTTCTTCTCAATGTACTCTACAAGCTTCTTTCCAGCATTGTCTCGAAGCTTATTCAAATTCACATTCCGTTCTGTCTTGATCGGTCCATCCTTGTAGATATTATTATATGTTTTCCATGCATGTTCATTGTAGAAGTGTTCTTTAATGAACTCGATCTTCCCAATAGCAGAAACAAAATGATACCCAGCTGGTATCTCATATGGAAGAAAGCTAGCCTCCATGGGAGAAAATGGTGTGTCTATAGGAGAACATGACTCGTCGTGAGGCTCACGAATGACTATGTTTGTTCTAAGACACTTCAGAGGCTTAGAAGCTGTAATTCCCTTGCCTTTAGCTTCCTGAGATAACCTTGGAGCCATTTGATCTTCAACAATTTTTGGCTTGAGCCTTCAAAACTCTTTCAGGAATTTCGTCGAACACTTGGCGTGCAACACAACAATTGCTCTTGAGAAATATAGATCTTGATTTTTCAATCCCCAAAAATCAACAAAAATTCAATGCAAAAGCTTCAACAATGTCAAACCCAAGTCTTCAATCACAAACAAGAAGTTCTTCAGCAAGATCTTAACCAATCCTCTAAAATTCTTTTCAGAACCTAATCTCCAATGTCAATTTCAATCTTAAAATCTTCAACTTCGAACCAATGAATTCACAATCCCAATTATGCAATGGAACACAATTATAATGATGGAATGATGAATATATAGTAGTTGAAGTTATATATAGATGTATATGTATGATGGGAGTAATATGGAGAGAGATGATGATGCCAAAATATGAACCACCTTTGGTATACATTCACGTGTGTGTGTGTGTGTGTGTGTGTGTGTGTGTGTTTGATTATTTTTACTTTACCTTGTTTTGACATTTGATTTTAGTTTTACATACTTTGAATTAACATTTAATTAAGCATATGTTGATTAATGTAAATTTAAAATGAAGGGAGTTGTTGGGCTTTCTCATCTATTGTGGTTGTTGAGGGGATAAACAAGATAGTGACCGGAGATTTGATCTCATTCTCGGAGCAAGAGTTGGTGGACTGTGATACATTAGTTACTGAACCATGTGTTGGGGATCTTTTATATATATATATATATATATATATATATATATATCAGTCTCATTCTTTAGGTCCAGTTTGGATTGGTTTTTCAAAAGCTGCTTTTAGTTTTTGGAGCTCAAAAGTTGTTTTAAATAGTGTTTGGCATGTTTTTTTAACAGAGCTTTGAGTTTTAGAAAAACGTTTTGGAGAAGCTGGTACCCCCTAGCTTCTCCAAAATGCTCTTTTGAAACATATGGGAAGAGGTTTGGCGTTTTAATAAAACTTATAAAATTCCAAGCGTGCCCTTGATTTTATTCGTTAAAAAAATAAAATCCCTAACATATCCTATATAAAAGAACCTGTTTTCTTTCTCAACATTACGCTTTGCCTAAGCTTGAAGTCATGAACCCTAGCAACAACCTAAGCAGCTAGAGAATCCTCTCTGAGATTCTCCTCAAGTAAAACTATTTTCTCCCCTTTCTTCTTCATTCCAACCGTACAAAACTCAATTGATATATGTGGTTGTTATTATAAAGATTAATTTTATTTGTATACGAAATAAATTTTTCTTTCATTTTTCTTATGTTTTCTCCAACGACCGAATGAACGCCACTGACAGCCTCACTGTGATGAACGACCTTCCCATATTCATCATATTTTACATACCTATTTATTTATTCATTGTGATTT